AGCCTGCTCTGGGTGACCCTGCTTGGGCAGGGGGTTGGGCTGGGTGACCCCCAGAGGTCCCTTCCAACCCCGAACATTCTGTGATTCTGGGGTGGTAAGAGCTCTCCAGGGTGGTGAGGAGGGCTCACTGTTCTGTCTGACCACCGCTGGGTTTGGGTGCCGCTCCCTCAGGCTCCCATACAGGCTTCTGTTTGGTCTCAAATGAGGTCCTTCTCCCAGGGATGCAGGCACAGGTCCCCTTCGGGCAGTAGCTCTGGTGGAAGCCACAACACTGTGTAAACTCTTCTGTTAACGCTGCTGCTCAGCAGTGCCGCCTCTGCCGTGCACGCCACGAATCTCTGCTGGTGCAGGGAGCGTGTCCCTTTACTCGGGCCCAGGGAGCTCCTTGCTTCACCTTCTCTCCCGTCCGTTCTTCTGGTCCCCGGTTGCCTCAGCCCGTGTGGAACAGCGTGAGGACGTGCCGAGCGGCACGAGGAGGTGACCGATCTTGCTGTGTCCTAGGCCCTCTCCAGCAGCGTGAGCACCAGCAAGCTGTTCTCCAGCAGCACGGCACCGCACGAGACGTCCTTCGGAGAGGAGGTGGAGGTGCACAACCTGCTGATCATAGACCAGCACACCTTCGAAGGTACCGGTCCCAAATGCTGGCCGTGCCCTAGGCTGGTTTTCTCCTCCAGGACCAGCCCATCAGCGCGTGGCTGAGACTTGTGGTCTTCACAGACTGGTGAAGATCAGCGATCTGGCACGTTGCCTGCAGTCAGCGCATTTTTCCTAGAGGAGCATCAGCCGTAGGGCGTAGATTTGAGGCATAGTGGGTTTTCGATGGCACAAGGTGGGGGGGGGGGATAGGAGAGGGGATCTCCAGGCATGTCTGAAGTTTCCAGCCACTCTTAAGCAAACAGCTCTGCCCACGTGTGGAGGAGCTGCCTGCAGAGACCCAGTTGTTCCTGCCTTTCCCTCTCTGCGCAGTGCTTCACGCTCACCAGTTTCTGCAAAACGAGTACGCCCTCAGCCTGGTCTCCTGCAAGCTGGGCAAGGATCCGAACACCTACTTCATCGTGGGCACTGCCATGGTGTATCCCGAGGAGGCAGAGCCCAAACAAGGCCGCATCGTTGTCTTCCACTACTCGGACGGTAAGAGCGAGGTCTTCTCACGCGGCCTCGTCCAGCTGCGTGAGGGAGATGAGAGTTGAGCTCCTTGGGCCCAAGAAAGCTCTCATCCCAGTAGCAGGCAGAGGGTTTTTCCCTGAGGGGGCTGCTGTCAGCTGCCCGCAGGTGGGATCCATCAGTGCTGTCGCTCTGCTCGCAGGCTTTCACAGCGTGTTGTTTCCCCTCATCTCCTCAAGAAGCCCCAGAATCCCTCACCAGAACTGGATTTTGGGATTTGCTTTCTCTCTCTCTGCCCCCGCTGTCCTGTCGCTCCCGTGTTACTCGCCCGCAGAACCTCCGAGACAATTTCTAAGGAGAGCAATATTGTCTCGTCTGAACCCGCTGGGCTTTCCACCCTGGGGCGTGCCGGGCAAATAACGGGGCGATGCGTGGGTTTGTTGCAGGGAAGCTGCAGAGCCTGGCCGAGAAGGAGGTCAAGGGGGCTGTGTATTCCATGGTGGAGTTCAACGGGAAGCTGTTAGCCAGCATCAACAGCACGGTAGGGCTCTCCCGAGTCGTTTCGGGAGCGCGTTTCGGAGCTGGAAGCGGCTCCAGCTCGACGGGTGTCAGCCAGGTCCCCGATCGCTGTTGGGGAGCGCATCCTGGCTGGTGCTGGGTGACCGTGCTGGCTCAGAGCTGCGTCCCTTCCTTCAGGTGCGCCTGTACGAGTGGACGGCAGAGAAGGAGCTGCGCACGGAGTGCAACCATTACAACAACATCATGGCGCTCTACCTGAAGACCAAGGGAGACTTCATCCTGGTGGGAGACCTGATGCGCTCCGTCCTCCTCCTCGCCTACAAGCCCATGGAAGGAAACTTCGAGGAGGTATAAATGCTGGTGAATGGGCTTGCTTGAAGGGGTGTTGGGAGCCCGTGCTGCTTGTTCCAACAGGCTTTGGGCGGGGGGAAGGGGGTTGAAGGTGATGGAAGAAGGAACCTGGCTGGCCACACCAAGCCAGGCCTTTGAAGACCAGGCTGTAGGGCTGAGCAATGGGAGCGGCGTCGCCTGGACGTGCTTTTAGATGGATCCCTGGATTTCCAGGAAACTGGGCAATGAAGCGGCAGCCTTGAGAAGAGCAGGCTTTGGATGCGTGGTTGCTGCCCGCCAGGGGCGGGGAGCTGCCATCTGGGCTGCCTGGTGGGTGGTTGGAAGGGGTTACTGCGACCGTAGCTGGATCG